CCCCGGGGAGGGGCGGAGCTGTAGGTGAGGCTTCGGGCCCGCCTCCCCCTCCTCTCCCGGCCGGGGGGTGGGGAGGCCGGGGAGGGGCCGACCCCACCCCAGCCCACCGCAGCCCACCGCAGCCCACCGGCGGGCTCCACCCAGCCGGCCTCCGGGATTGGGCGGGAGCCGAGGCGGTGGATGTGGGGAACCCGGGGCTGGAGGTGAGCGGTGGGAGTTGGGGCGCTGGGCGCCGGGAGAACCGAGGGTGGGAGGTTTCCTGGGACGCGATGTTGCGGGCGAGGTAGTGGGGAGACGGAGAAACTGGGGAGCCATGAGGCTGAGGTGCGGTCAGGGTGGATCTGTGGGTTTAGGTGACTGATGTAAAATGTTGAAGGAGGATTTTTTCCTTTTTTTTGTTTTTTGGTGAAATGGTGAGATAGAAGACGAAGGGTTGTATTTCAAAAGGAAGACGAGCTGTGGATTGTGTATGTTGCCTTTGAGGCAGATGGAGAAGCTGTTGCAATAGAGCTCACATTTCTACTTTAGGGTTTTGATTATTTCTTCTTGTCCTGGCGGGGAGGGTGGGGGATCTGGATCCCTTTGCTTTGGCTCGGCGTGGGTGAATTGGGAGCGTGGGTGAATCTGAAGTTTAACACCCAAGAAGAGGTAGGATTAGACAACTTCATTCTGGCAGCGCCCATTAGGGAATAGGTCACTTTACATTTAGCTTCTTAAAGGTGTTGTCTTCCAGTTTTTTTCTGTGCCTAAAATCTCTCTTTATACCACCTTTTTAACAGGCTTTATCGGGGCCTCTTAAGTGAAGGCCTGGGACTCAGGTGGTTGCTTTGGAAGACACATTTCTGAGTAACAGTTGCAGGTGGTTGTGGTTGACTGCTTTGGGTGAATAAAATGAACAATTTGAACAGTTCTTCTCTTGGAGCTAATTATATGAAAAAGCTTGAATATTTTAAAGCACAGCTGTCTTTTATAGCTCGTTTTTCAGTAGGTTTTGACATTTAGACATTTTGTGTTCAACACTGAATTATTGGACATTTTTAAATTTCTCAATTGAGGTGTATCGCAGTCTTTATTAAACACTTTGAAATGAATTTTTTTTTTCTTTTTTATGTAGACCCTTTGATTTCTGAGAAATGTTCTTGGAGTATAGTGCTTTTAAATGCTCTTTAATACCATATTGGGGACTTGTGTCTCACTTCATAGGGAGATGTTACTAAGAGTACTCAGTCCTTAGTGTTCACATCAGTGTTTTACAACTTAGCATAGTAAATCAGAATCTTCTTTTCTGGATTCCTGTTCCCTATTAGATTACAGTATTCATTGATCTTACCTATCAGTTAGTGTCATTTAAGCTATTTCTTGTTCAAAAAACAGGTCCTGTGATGGACATGTGTTATGTAGTGGGTGGAAGTAGGCATGACTCTCAATAATTCATTTATGGAGGAAGAGAAACCGTCATGAAATGAAATTGAAGCGGTGACTTTCTCAAGGCTTATCCAATTTATTTGGGAAAATAGCCAGAGAAGTGCTTTCCTGTAACCTGAGAGAGAAATATACAGATGTGAGTTTCAGTAATTGCAGGGCATTGCCTTTTTTTACTTCCTTACTTAAAGGAGACCATTATCTTCTAACACATACTTCTGCTTGTAGAGACTTATAGGAAACACAGGATATCATAGCTATTAAGTGAAAAAGTGTGTGGTCCAATTTATAATTACAAATACAAGATTTAATTAACTGTATTCAGACATTGAATAACAGGTTGGTACAATGAATAGTTCTTTTTAGGATTTTTTTTTTTTTTTTTGCAGCTGGCTCGTGCAGGGATCCAAATGCTTGACCTTGGTCTTATCAGCACCATGCTCTACTGAGTGAGCAACTAGCCAACTCACAGTGAACAGTTCTGATTTTGGATTAGTTAGAAGGAAAACTTAGAATTCACATATCTAATTTTGGCTTTTTAATTACACTTTGGTTTAATTAATTGGGACAAATGTGAACCAGTATGCTGGGTGAAACTTTTTGTGAGTATTCCTAAAATGATATTTGCGTGGCTGACAGTGAGGTGATTATTAACCTTGTAGAAATGAAATCATATAATTTGGGGAAAGGTAGAAGTAACCTATTTTTGGTTAGAATTTCTTGTGCCTAAAAAAAAACCCTTTATATTTTATTGTTCAGGAACTGTTGCTTGCTAGTCATTACTTGTGTTATCCTTGCTGAGGTGTTTTTTCCTTCATCACTGAAGTCAGTAAGTATGTCAGTCTGTCACTTCAACTTTAATACTGGAAACTTAAAAGTGAAGGTTCTTAGGGCCGACCCGGTGGCTCACTTGGGTGAGTGCGGCGGTGGGAGCGCAGCAGCGCGCCCGCCCCGGGTTCGGATCCTATATAGGGATGGCTGGTGCGC